AGTGATTGTATTGGTAGGCAGATTTGAATAGGATAGACTGTTGAAAAATGTTCTAAGACCATCTATCTTGTCTGGTGCTAGAAATTTGTGTTAAAAAACAAAGTTCTTGGTTCTCCACTAGACCACCTGCACTTTTTAACAGCTGAGAAATTGGCTAATATCATATTGTTTATGTTTCATGTCTCCTATTACGATGGTAATCTGCTCTTCATCATTGCTTTATCAAAAAAGAGTCATGGTTACACATGTTAATATGATCCTCAGTCCATGTGACCAGCTGTAATTGAAACATTGCCCTGTTCAGTGCATCACCTGCCCTAATTTTCTTGGGAGTACAAATTGCTGTGTCTTGTGTTTTGACAACATATACTCAGCCCTACAGCTCAGTCTCAGCCTTTGACTGTTGAAGATGGGGAAGGGCTTTTCATCAGAGAAGGCAGTGATAGGACAAGGACAATGGTTTTAAACTGAGAGAGGGAAGATTTAGGTTAGATATTAGGAAGACATTTTCTTCCCTATAAGGGTGATGAGGAACTGGAATGGGTTGCCCAGGGAGGTTGTTGATGCCCCATCCCTGGAGCTTTTTAAGGCCAGGTTGGACCAGGTTTTGTGCAACTTGGTCTAGTGGTAGGGTTCCCTGCTCATGGCAGGGGGGTTGGAACTTGATGATATTTGAGGTCCCTTCCAAACTTAATGATTCTCTGATTCTAAGTTCCCTTTGAAATAAGAGATTTTGCAGTTCTATGTGATGCTCCACTGTTAACTCTATTCATTCTCATCCAGCAGGTTTGAAAATGTATGGGTTAATACACTAAATACAACTTTAAAAGTTTTGAAATGTGGATTTCTTCTTAATATCTGAAGTTAGCTCAGACACTTGTAACCATTGTGAAATCTGCAGAAACCTGATTTTCACAGCAGAAAAATTAACACAATTTCTGTATTCAGTTTTAGTGGATTATCTTTGGAAGCAGATTAAAAACAAAAGCCACAATTTGCATTGCTGCTGTAATTTATTTTTCATGTTGAAGTGATAAAAAAGTCTCAGTGAATAAGCATAGTTACATTTGATAATGATTCAGGGTTGGTTAATAAACTGAAGGCAATTGAGGCCTGCTGAGACACTGCACGCACAGTCCACCTTCCAAGAACAGCTCCATTTCACAGCCATTTTGCATGGAAGCAGCTCAGACTGGTTCACACAGCTGTGGGAATCATCCTTCCTAAAAATCCTGCAGAACTGGGATCATTTGTATGAGTGAGACTCCAATTCTGGGAGCTTTCCAGAGCTCTGCAATGCCTCTTAGGAAATTGGGATAGATCAGCCCTTACCAGAACCCTGAGGCTCAGGTTCCCCTGCTTTTCCTCTTTAGTAGGAAATATTTACCCTCTCTTTTTGATTCTTTCTGATTGTCTTTTTTGAAATGCCTAAGTTTAGCCAGAGTTCAGGTAGTCTTCACTGCAGTTACAGGAGTGTGTGCTGAGTCACTAGTAGAAAGTTCTGCAATACAGTGAACATTAAAAATCTGAGGACAATGTAAAACCAATGTAGTTAATGTTAAAATGGAAAACGTCACAAGGGTCTATAGCGCTGATTATACTATTCATCTAATTTTTAAGAACCTCCACTGTAAAAGGACATAAAATGGCAAGAACTTCTGTTTTACACAGTACAAAAGGATTTTTTCTACAGGACGTAGGTCCTTTTTCTTGAGCAGGTAATTGTCTTCTTTATAATTTCTTACTTTACCATCTGATAACAGAAGAGAAATATTTAAATTGTGACACACCAAAAAATTACCTTAGAAGAAGTTCTTGAATGTAAAGGATGTGCAAACAGAAGCATTGGAAGTTATGTAGATTCTGGCATCTATGAACACAAATGGTTTTTCTTTTCTTGCCTTCATTCCCAATTTAATTTGCTCTGTATATTTAATAGCTCTCTTAATCTCAGAAAAAATGCTATATATGAAAAGACTATTCAACCTTTAGGGACTGTTAAATAAATATAGGCCTAATACCTCATGCAAAGGCATCTCCATCTCCTGACAAGGTATCACCATGCATAGCAGGAAAATAAGAGGGGAAATAATATGAAAGACATGAATTTCTGGCAGAACTCCACAAGAAAGTTGCATTTTGGCAAAGATTTAGATTTAGATTTTTAGTTTGTTGTTTCACTGAAAGTTTTTAAGATCCAGTACAAGCAAAGCAGAGACCCTCCTGCAAGCTCCCTGAGTGAGAACAGCCTTCAGCAAACTCCCTAGTTCTTAGCCATCCCTCTTACTCCTTGACTACGAGCCCATGGAGTACTACTAAGAGCTGAGAGCACCCTGGGAGCCCCATTTGGCAGCATTAGCTGAAAAGTCATAGATCACCTATGGGTGGGCCAGGGATAACACAAAGACCCAAGGAGTCCATCAGCTCCTTAACAAGCAGTGTGGAGCAGGTACAACAGATGACCTGCCTCAGAGGTCTAGAATTTTGTTACCTGTCAATAAGCTTTCAGACCTAGAATAATCAGGTGGAAATTGTATCAGTTACTACTGAATAAAAGCACAATGGGCTAAACAAAAATTACACTAAACTGGTCCTGAAACAAGGATGCTGAGAAGAAGCAGCATAAAAAGAGTGTGTATATGAGTAGAAAGAGGTGGATCAGGGAAGAGTTTTAAAGGGTTCTCCTTGCAAGTAAGTGTATATGCAAGTTAAAGAAAAAAAACTTAAATATCACCTGCTTGGTACCTGCTGTACCAGGGCCAAGAAAAAAAAGCCTGTGAGAATTGGCTTAAACTCTGCTGCTTAACTCCCTGAAGGCATTACATGATGAATTAGAAGATCTGCTCCGGAGTGAACCAGCAGAGCAGCAGGAAACCCTGCTATGGGTGGTGTGAGATGCACAGGATCTGAACACCTAGCCAGTGACTCCTGGGCACTAGGCTGGACCCAGAAGGGTAGGTCCTTATACTTTGGAATAAACAAACAAGTGGGGAAAAGAAGATTGGAATAGAAGTGGCTCAAAACCTATGCTTTTTGTCATTAGACATATTATATAGATAGTTTGTAAATACTTTTTAGTAAAAGTGCTTAAGTCTACTTTATCCTAATGTGCTGTGTGTTTTCTACTTCAATTTCATGCCTAAATCGATAACTAATTATAATTTGACAAGAAAAAGAGATTGCAATGGATATGATCTACCTGCTCTGCTGTTCAATTGTAATGTGGTTGGCTGGCTTTACAGTGTTTCCACATTTTGTCTATACCATTTCCAGAGTCACCAGAAGAATTAGGAAGTAAATTTCTGGCCAATCATTTCAACATCACATAGAATAGTCTCAGAAGCCCTTTGTCTGTGGCTGATGGCAGAGGGGAGGTTTTGATGCCTAATTGTCAACACTCATTCGGCTGGAATTTAAACAGCTTTCATCTTGGGTCTTACAACCAGATGCAAATTAAGGAAACTCTATCCAGGACCATGGTCATTTAGGCAATGATTATTAAAACAATGCATCCTTTAACAATCTGAGAGTACAACTGCTGTCACAATAACATCCATGCCCTTCTGTAGGTCTATCACACAAACTTGCATGCCCCCTACAAATACACACATATGAGAGAGGTTTTTTCCCCCACCCTTCAAATCTGTTAAGAAATGGACGACTGGATATGTAAAAAATTCTCTTCTTTGATTTTTGTGCTCACCAGTCATTAAAGAGTTACGTTTCAGAGCAGCACAAAAAAAGAAGAGCTGGTTGACCAAACATTTTTTTTCTTACAAAGAAGTGTCAACCCTGAGCTTGTAATTAAGAAGTTAAAATCTGTGATTTATATATATTTATAGATATAAAAATAGATGATCATACTAAGACTAAAAAAGTGAAAGAAATCTCCATGTCAGTACTATATATTTGTTTGTTCTGAAATTTTGTAGAAGAAATCCTTGTGATACTGAAATGAACTGATAAGAGAGACGTAGTTGGATGTGGAACACACTATTGATCCAGTCACCGGGAGTCCATTAGAGAATTGCCATGTGGGTAGGATAATGAACATAGTAGCAGAATGTCCTAATCGATGTCAGAACAGTGACAAAAGGAAAGAGATTATATCACAAGAGATTATTTTCTGTCCAAACCCTTGAGGGCAGATTTGTCAGGAGAGTTGTTTAGCATTGCCATCACAGCTGATGGTGAACTAAGTGGAAATCTGTGCCAATTGTACAACATGGATAAATAGTAAAAGAAGCTAGGTGAAATCGTGTTACTACTCAATTTTTTACTGGGCATTAAGATTTAAATCCTAAACAACTGTAACATGATATTCTGAAGCTAGTGGAGCTACTATCATACTAAAAGATAAACTTATTTTTCAGCTTCTCTGCCTTCATACCAGTCTGATGTGGTTGGCAGATGGAGTGCAAGACATTCACCATTCAGATATGCTTTTGTGTTTGAAAAAAAATCCAGACTTCCTCCCTATAGCAATGATCATTCTGATCATCTGGATGTCCTACAGAAGTTCCTAAAGGAAACCTGGCTGTCAGTGAAGAATGGTTGAATTTATTTCTTGTCTTTTTTGTTTTGTTGATATTCTGTTGAAATGCAGCAGCCTCGAGTCAGGCCTGATTCAGAAAGACAACTGTTTTCTTGGTTTCTCCCCCCTTTTTCTCTCGTTAGGGAAAAAACACACACTGTTAAGATCCTTTTACTTTTGCAGCATGAAAGGAAATGAAGCTCTTAAAGTCTGTAATAAAGGTTTGAGAAAGAATTATCTCAAGAGTGGATATCATCTTCAGAGTTATCTGAAAAAAAGGAAGCAGTTCAGTCTGGCACCTGGTACTCTTTGGGAAAACAAAAAAGGGAAGCAGGTTGCAGTACTGCTCTCTTCTCATAGAAAACTGCAAGTGTTTGTGGCATGGTCCACTGTCCAAGAGTATAAGAAAAGAAGCAAGTTGGCTGTTTCTGTAGCTAAAAGACAGTTTCTCCGACCAGATCCGGGATTATCTCCACTGTCTCTGCAGTATGAGACTGATGAAGACCATGAGCAACGTCTGCAGTGACCAGCCAGGCCGCGTGGCTGAAGCCTCCACCTCCCTCCTGTCGGAGTCAACCAGCGGCGCTTCAGTGGTGACAAAATCGAACTCGGTGGGACAGATGTCATCTGTACAGCCACTTCCACTGCCCGAGCCGCTGGTTTCATCGCCTGGCACAAGGGAGAGAGGGAAACAACGTGAGGGTCATGGGTCACAGTGCCCATCCCTTTTCTCTGTTTGCATTCCAGCTGGCACCTTGATGGGGACAAACACCTTAGGAACAGAGAAGTGGTGGTGGTGCTACCGTTCAGTAAAAGCATCAAATGAAGGCCACTGTGATTTAAGTATGTGCTTAAATGCCCTCCTGGAGAAAGGGTAGGCTGCTGGCATTATAGAAAGCCCTCAGTGTCTTGATACATTTGGCACAAAGATGAGCAAGAGGAGCAAAAGAAATACATAGCTGGAATTTCACAGGACAGAAAAAGACATTTTTTTTATGTTGTCAGCAACACACAGCACAAAGACCAAAGAAGGTCATTCCAATGGAACCTATTTTTAAATGTGTTCCAAAAATATACTTATTTAATGACAGTTAATGGTTTCTTACTTGTATCCTGGAAGTTGACATCATTTCCATTATATGCATTCTTCAGTTTGTTAGTCATGACACGTAAGGCCATGATTTGTTGTCGAATGAAAGTGTCTGGCCTTGTGATGTCCACATCTACTTCTGGATTGTTGATCTGGTTGGTCAAGCCATCGTTCATGATTTCTGGCAAGTATCTATATAGCAGGATGAATGATAGTTTAAAATGCAATAAGTTTCAGAAACAAAAGACTGTACAGTAAGTGCTGTGCTAAGCCATTTGACACTGGAACAATTACAGAGTTCTTAAACAGCTCCAGTGAAACCATTTTAAAAATATGTTTTTTAATTTTACAGATGCTAAAGGTTCGTTTTAGTATCTCAGCTGCCTAGAGAGCAGAAAGGATTTAAGCTCTCCAACCTCCTAACTCTCCACATAACTCCCCAGCAAGTGCACTGGCTCTTTGAGCTATGGAAGAGGTTCATCAACCAGCAGTTAAGTTCATGTTCAGATCCACTACCATTATGAATGGTTGCACTAAATTAAGCATCTAACAGTGCATCTTTCTGTTTTTGTTTCCTTTTGCTTAAAAATTATGAAGCCCTTTCTTATATATATAGCATATTTGTTGTTTTGAGATAGTCTAGAAGGCTGTCTTGAGGCATTATGGTGCTCCTTGTTTAAAGGAAGCACTTGATTAAGTTCCTTCTGCAGTTCTTCCTTGCATCCCTCTTCTGACCACCATGAATAACATTTCCAGCCTATCCAACATCCAGACCCATAAGCAGCATTGTGAGTTCACCAAACTCCAGTATTCTCTTTGATCTGATTCTTTTTGATTCTCCTTATTCCTTACAAACAGGCTATACTTGCATCTCCCACATGCTTTGTGCATAACATATTTAAGATATGGCATTTTCTACCCATCCACACACCTGAATTTTTCATTCAGGCTCTGAGCGTATCTTTTCTTGATGACTGCAGCATTCCCTTCTCTGACCTTGGCAAATGCAGTCTTAGGCTGCTCACAGGTAGCAACTGTGCTTTTGCAGGTATCTCTCCCCTGTAAAAATCAGCCCATGCCTCCAATCACCCCATGATAAAAGCCATCATCATCTTTTGTTAAATACGAACACTTTGTCCCCTGCTTCTTTTTGTTCTCAGGAAACTCTCCTTATAGGCATCTGCAAAGCTATCTTTTCCAGCTATCTTTTCCAGCTTTGAATCTCCGTATGTGCATTTGACAGCTGCTATGCTGATAAAAGGCTGACATTATTTCTTGATGTTATCTTGAGAAAACAGGGTATCACTGCTTCCCTGTTCTCTCTCATCTGTATTTACCTCCTACCTTTGCCTCATATTTAGACTGCAAAGGATCTGAGGCAGATTGACCCTTTGTTCAAATTCTTTATAATGATATGATCTATTTTGTAATTAGTTTGCATACCAGGCTATCCTACAGATGTTTGTGACACTCCTCATGTAGGTGTGTGCTCAGCCAGTCATACTAGCACAGTCTAGCTTACTAAAGGCAAACTATCATGATGCCTGATACCAACTACAGTTGAAGAGTATTTCACTTCACTCTCAATTGTGCCAATCCAATTTGCTATTGATATTCAAATTTGGCACTGGTGCCATTGTTATAGTCATATTGGTCTGGAAACAAAATATATCCCTGAAAAGTAAATGTGAAAGTAAAGGGAGAAGAAAGGACTTTCTCTGCTGAAGCCATGGTTAAGGGAAATTCAGTTTTGTATTGTTTCTGGAGGTTCACAAAATGATGACTGCTTTGCTGCACTAGGGACAGGTTCAGTTTCATCCTAATAGGTACTCCTTTTGCAAGATGAGACTCATATGTCATCAGTGGCCTTTGAAAGCTCAAATGAGAATAATCCTGGGGGAGTGTGAACATATAAGAACAAAATATGGCTGCCAAAAATACCCAGCCTCAAAACATGTGTCCTGTTGTTTCACTAGTACCGTAATGAGAAATATAAATGCTGTGGGGATCCCATCCAGACTCCTGTGGTACAGGCTTAACTATGGTGAGAATGCAGAGCCACCTCTCCTAGTCTAGAGGAGTTATGAATCACCAAAGATAGAAATTGGAAATAATTCTGCAGAGCTGCCTGGAGGGAGCAGGTTGGAGACCTTGGTGTGCAGGCAAGCTCTGGGCTGCAAAGGAACAGCACCTCCATCTGTCACACGTCTCTACAAATGAAATGGCTGGTGTAGATAAATTACTCAGCCTAGAAGTAAATCAGTGATTTCAAGGTGCAGTTGATTAAAAAAAGTAAGAATGTAAGAATTGCCCTACCAGCTCAGAGAGGATGTCCATCTTACCTGGTGTCTTGTCCATGACAGCACCATGGCTGTAGCTGCTAGAAATTATTTGAGATTGCTGAGTGTTCACGTGGATTGCTCTCCTTGTTTATGAAGGGCTAGCTGCTCCTTACTGCAAGCCATCCATGAGACCCTAGACCTGAACAGCAATTCGTGGGCTTTCTTTGACTGATTTATGTTTATTTCTTCTTGCCTTATTGCTAATAATAAAAGAAGAATGTACTGACTTCTTAGTAAGCTTTTCATATGGAGAGAATATGAGTTAGTTTGGAGATTCAAAGCAGTTAGAGTGCTCTGGTGTGTGCTTTTTATTGAGGTTCATATTCTGCATTGTGATTAGAGTGGATCTGGTGTCCTTCTGAAGACCATCTAACTTTAAATGGACCAGCCCATTCAGCCACAGGAAGTTACTCAATCTGTCACACTTCCCCTTGTACCTGCCTTAGGATCTGGTGGCCCTCACAGCATTCCTGGCATAGAAGGGTTAACCTTTCAGCAGAATGGTCCAGTGCACCTCATCTAGGTGTGTAAGTGTGGGTCACAAGAAGTCCATTACCTTGTGATTGCTTAAAGGTTAGGTGGATACTTGAATTCCCAGACAAATGAGCCTCTTGGCCTTTAGGGCATAAGAACAAAAGAATTAGAGAGGCTGAGGACTCATCTTTAGGTTTACACAGTTACCAAAACTTGCATGTGTAAATGCAAGTGCCTGCGTATGAGCAGAGTCCCACTCTTGCCAGGTCTAGTCAACACAAGATCGAGTCAAAACTAGTCAGGAGTTTATTTGTCAGTGGAGCAGGGACCACTGTTGGAGTCCCATGTGCCTTTGGCCAGATGATTAGTTCATTAGATGTCATCTGCTGGGATTTATCTGCACAAACGTAGACATCTGGTCCCATTTGATTGCTCTTGGTTCTTCTTCCTTTTCTAATTACTTGCTGTGAGAGGTGTGGCTTTTCTATAGGTCCTGCATCATATCCACAAGCTTAAGGGGGAGATCTTGTACACCTGGGGCATCTAACATTATATGAGGTGTCCTTCTTTAGGCAGCCAGATTGAGTCTTGAATGCCACTCTAGCCACCAGGGGATGTGCTGCTTTGTGTCTTGCTGCCACTCCAGTGAAGTCTGAATATCTCATAGGTCCAGGGTCTTATTTGCCAGCTGCATAAGGTTGTCTTGACTATTCAGACTATCTCACATATCAGTAGATAAGTGTGTTCAGGCAGCTGAAAACTGCCACATTGACTACACTGGCAGGATTTTGGGTGTCCCTTCAGGCACCTTAACGTTTTTAAAATGCTGTAGCAGTTGTTGCCTAGGCTCTGGTCCAGATGGGAACTAGTGTCCTGTGTCATACTCATCTCAGACATGCCGGAGACTCAAATGACTCAACTCTCACTTCGGCAACACAAATGACTGCTTATTGTCTCACCCACAGGCATCTATATTCAAATGCATGAATTTACATGTCTGAATGTGAAGCTGGATTCTGCCCTCCTTACTGAACTAGTTCACTTGCTTCCTGAGGGGGAATAAAAAAGGCAGAAAAGCCTATATCGAATGTAAATATCTTTGAATTGCTCTCCTTTCTTGGAAGGACTGGTGCAGGCACGGGAACACACAGCCCAAGGTGTCTGGTGAGTGACAGCCTCTGGGAGGCAGCCCAGCACATGTTCTGACAAAAGCATTTTGACGTGTGTGGGGTAGGGTTAAGTCGCACCAAACAGGAAGCCCTGCCTTGGGACCACTTTTTGACAGAAGATTTGTTGCTGGCTGGGCAAAGATGTTGAACACAGCTGCTTTTGCTGCAGTTCTGTAAATGGAGACACCCTTGTGAATTTTTAGCTTTGCTGCTGCTTCTGCTCTGGGTAACGATTTCTCTGTACGCCCGGCCACTACAGAAACTGAGAACTGTACACCCATTATGAACAAAATGAAGTGCCAACCTGAATCAGTGTCTGTACTTTGCATCCTCTTAGTGAAAAAAAAAAAATAAATAAAAAAAACCAGCTTTCTTAGTCCTCTGAGTATGGAGAAGGTGAACAATACTGTTTGTTTTCTGCCGTTTGCTCCTTGCTCAGCTATGTCAGGATTTTAGTGTAATTTACATTGTTTTCTAAAATATTAATGATTTCTGTTCCTCTTAGCCTTTCCGCAGCTCTTGCTTGTCTCAGCAGACACAACAAAGATGTCTTTTGGCACATCATAACCAAGCACCACAAAGCATATTTAAAAGCTTTTTTTTTTTTTTTTTTTTTTTTAAATATCCAGTCAGTGTTTCAGGGTGTCTGCTTCCCTTTTAAGTTGAAAATGACTAATGAATCTTTCAGGTCACTTCTATAAAGGCTGTAGCTATGAAAAAACCCCAAGCACCACAAATATATTTTATACATTTTTTTTTTTTTTTTTTTTTTTTTTTTTTTTTTTAAATATCCAGTCAGTGTTTCAGGGTGTCTGCTTCCCTTTTAAGTTGAAAATGACTAATGAATCTTTCAGGTCACTTCTATAAAGGCTGTAGCTATGAAAAAACCCCACACACGCAACAAAAGGGGAGGAATATTCTGGTTTTTAAAAGACACCTTACTTAAAGGGCAACGTTCTTCATATTTTGTTGCCACAGCAGCTGCTTACAGTATGACTGGAGCATCCCACCCAGGCAGGACTGGAGTTTTTCCAGCTGCACAGAACGGTAGGCAATAGGAGTACAAACTACAGCACAAGTTTACTCAATCTGGGCTGGGGGTAGGCAGTCACATCTGGTCCTGAAAGATAAGTGCAGTGAAAATGTGGCTTGTTTGGCTAACTGGATCACCTCATCTTAATCTGTTTGCTCAGCAGGTAATCCCCACAGGATATTTTCAGTTTGCTTTTTGTTGTTGTTGTTTTTTTCGCCCCCTCTATCTTGGAGAAAAGCTCAAGGAGACAAGAGAGGGCTAAAATGGCTCATCTGCCAGTTTGTTGGAAGGATGAAGATGAAAAAATACACTAGAGCCATCAATTAATTACAGGCACTTTTCACACTTACCAATAATTGGTTTATTTACACTTTGGCTAGTGGTGCTAAGTGGTTCACTTTCCTTACTGCCTGGTAAAGGAAGTACTCATTCTCATTCTACTCATTCTCATTGCAAGCCTTGGTGGTCAGCAATGAGCAGCTTTCCCAAGGCAGGCACTGATTGGTGAGTTTGTCTTCCGACCTGAATTTCACCAAGAATTAAAGGCTTTCTACCTGGAAAGTAGGCACTCACCTACCTATGCCAGAAGAAAATTTCAGGCCAGTTAAGAATCTATGCTGTGTTCATTTTGATGAAATACCTTGTAGTTTTTGAGCTACATGTTGAAAAATACAGTGTTAATTTTTCCTTTTATTCCCTAACTTTCTCTATTTTTTTTTTTCTGTTTATAAATACTATCTGTCTCATATATAATTTTATTTCTTCTTCACTGTCCTCAGAGGTGTAATAGCCTCCTCATGGAAAGCAACACAGGTCTCATCTCTTCCATAGATTACAGCCTTGCAGAGCTAAGACATACTAGTAGATCTCTAGTCCTATGGAGCTTGAGCACCAGGATGACAGTGCATGAGTGCCTGGGTTGGTTGAAATGAGCTGATTGGAGCAATTTAAGGTTCTTCTGGCCACCAGAGCAGTGGCATATTTGGTTACTGTTCTCACTTCAGAATAAGTCACTTACTCAAGGGCTCATACTTTGGATTTAAGTCCTAAAGCCTGAATTCCACCATTTCTGTGAAAATTCCTTTATTTCTGGAGAACACCTGTTAGTGAAGAGGTTATCTGCTATTGTTAAGTATTTATCTGCATATAGGGAAGATGCTAATCTTTTAAATTTTGGTCTTAATATTTTTTTAAAAAATCCTAAAGATCTTTAAAAAAATCTGTATCTATCTGGTAGAAGACATTAATTCTTTGAACATAAATTTAGTTCAAGTTCTTTTGTAATTACAGATATGATGGGGAAGTACTGTTGGGAATCTCTTTAAAAAGTACTTTGTCTGAAGTAGCAGTTATTCTTATTCTTGATTAAAACAAAACAAAACAAAAAAATAGGTTAATCCACCTAATAAATGTTTTCCCATTTCCAAAGCACTTGGTTTCTACCTGATGTGATCTGATTAAAAGCATTCTTTGTACAGGACCAGCTATGAGCCAAGTGCACCCTTCCAGAACACCAAATGGATGACTCTGTTACCCCATGATTATTCGTGAATTGGCGACCTTCATTTGACACCTGGTGTCACTGTAAATTAATCATGGCAGCAAAGTGATATCTGGGGAGTGTAATTACACAAGTGACCTTGGTGTAATGCCTGGCTTTCATCTTCTGTGATCTCAGGTTTGTAACTCTTTTCCTCTTTGAAAGCAGCATCAAAAAGTGATGTATAAAATGAAACATGAGGCATAACATCTATCTGGCAATTCAAAGTTTCTAATTGCTTATACCACTAAAAGATCTGATAAAAATCTGCAACAATCTGCTTTCCCAACAGTAGCCAACATCATGTTGTCTCCTTACTTGCAGCATTAATGTCTAGGAAAACAAGAGGTGGCTAAATTTCCTTTTTTCTAGCATGGATTGTTGTCATATTCTACAGAATTCAAAATGCAACTCTTCATACAGCACAGGGGTGCTTATGATGGGTGACACAGTGAACACAAATAGGTATATGCATATTGGTCAGATTTTGCCACTTGCTCTTGCAGACTAGCATTTGGTATCAGATACTAGTCAGTACAATCAAGGAAATGTGGTTTTTTTTCTATATGCTGCAGTAAATGTCTTTATTCACTAGTCAAGAGCTGATTTTGCATCTAAAGCTAGTTATTTTTAATATTATTTTCAATATTGTTTCATATACAGGCCCTGGGATCTCTTTGGTATATTACTTGTTCTCTCCACCCGAAGGATTTATTGAATTTTGTTATTAAGACTCTGTCTGTACATTTCCTCTCTGATTGGTTAAGAAATAGAAACTGGACAGAGAAGCAGTGGCTGGGCTTGCTGAAAACTCTATTTTCAGGTGATGCTTTGAAGCTCAGTTTCCACATTCAGCGAAATGTCCTTGTTAAATTAATCAAGTAGATTATCAGCAGAGAACAGCTTTTCTCAGTGGCTCTAGAACATTGATCTCAGAAGGCATAATGAAGATAACCAGGCTTCTCAGAAGATAAATACTGCATAAGGAGAGTGAAAAATTACCTGCATAAAATGCACCTCCATAACTCCCAACAAACATGGAAGTTGTGCCAGACCCTTCAGTGTAGGAGCAGAAGAGAGCTGAAAAGTCCCAGTGAGAGGCAGCAGAAACACTAGCATTGGTCATGGAAACCAGGAGAGGTATCTGCAGGTTTGTTTGACTGCTCTTTTGTAGAAAGAGTAGCATATATGTCTCAGTAATGCATGCATCCTGATGTGATGTGTGGCATCCACGTGTGGCCTGGGAACTCCCTTTAACTGCTGCAGCTCCCCAGCCTTGGGTCATAACTTAAAAAGCCCAACCAACAAACCCAGATAGTACAGAGGAAGACAAAACCATGGTTTTATTTATCTCTTCACACTGCTCCTTTGTGAAGAGGCCTGTGACAGCCAGACACTCCTCCTAGCTGTCTTTCTCAGAGTCCCCAGGGGCTTTGTCTGGACTTGGGACTTAGGAACTGAGCAGTGACTTGTGCTTTTGGACAGATTTGGTCATGTGTGTCTCAAATGGACTAGCACTCGTGTGTTCAACGGACTAGCAGCATCCCAAACAGCCCTTTGCTCTCCTCTGTTGATGAATGATTTTCAGCATTGTGTAGTAAGGCTAGGGAAAACCTCGTCTTGTAAAGTGTACTCCTTATAAAAGTGATTAGATTATGAGGTAGGTGCAGTTATCTATGTATCTGCCCATCCATCCATGCAAAACGTCACTTAACAGGTTTATTTTTTTTTATATGGTGTCTTATATTCACTGAGTTTTTATATTTCATGTGCTTTTCTCACTTTATATATATATATATATATATATATGTATATTTAATGAGCTATTTTTTGTATTCTGGCTTCATTCGTATCATCAGGCAAAAGGAAAATAAAGATTCCAGTCCTTCTGTGCCAGAAAGCATCACTGCTCTCCAGATTCAGTGCTCGTCACACACTCAAACTCTCCACTCCTGTCAACCAAAAAAAGCAGACTACTGCTGCAGAAACCTCACTGCCCACCATGGTCCTTGAGCCAATTCCTCTTTCTTTCTCAGCAGGGATAATCAGATCCTCTCCTCTGTCAGCTGATTCAGCTGATGAATCCATGCTGGGACCTTTGGAGACACCTGTTCATCTGCCAGCTCCAGCCCCACCACAGCCAGAGCCAAGCAAACCTTCAAAATTAGAACTTACAGAGAACTCATCACAAACAAGGGCAGATGACCACAGTATCTCTGCTGAAGTAACATAAGGTCGAGCCTCCTACACAAGATAAGTAGGAGTGTTACATTTATTCTCTGCTGGATGTTTTTCAGGTTTGCTTTTTTCCCCTGCAGCCCCCGAGCAAATAGACTAATCTAAGTCAGCCAATCGCAAATAGAGCCAAAATTCCAATTTCTGTTTCATCCCAGTATGATATCCCGAGAGTACAATTGCTTCACAAGCTGTCAGGCCCAACACAGGGATGCTAAATGGAGCAAAAGAGCTCTCAGAAACCTTGGTGTAAATGATCCTTCTGGAGCTGAACCAATGAACATTTTCTGCACTCCAGCTTTAATGGCACCTTGACAATAAGCAACCTCAGCTACAAGCTGCATGTGGACAATTACTTGTTCATCCCTTTTCTGTTTCACTCTTATTAACAATTTTGTGAAATTCTGTGATTGTTCCAGGCCAGATGGGGACCTGGACCGAGTGTGGTGGAGAGGGGTCCACCTCACCTGGCCTTGGTGTGGCCGTTCCAGCAGTCCTCCTCGACTGACGGACCGGCTGTCACCCGCTCATCCTTGCAGATTGTGTAGGGTAATGTTGACCAGAACTTTTTAGAGAGCTTTAGCTTTTCTTTAATGTCTGTTACCTGATTAAGAGACAAGGAGAGGGAAAACAGGTTAAAAACATCAGCCACACTATCATGTTAAATAATAGGTTGCTTAATTCCATAATGGTAATGATGGTGAAGGTTAAAAGGGCTGAAGGTGCTAAAACTTAAATTGCTGTATTTAGGAGCAAGGCACTCAGCATTTGGATTCAGAGAATCCAAATAATGAAAGTTACCTTTTTCCGCAGGCAGCACATTAATAAAAAGCATGTTACATCTTTCTATTTCTAGTCTCCACTTGTCTAGGTTTTCCTAAATATACATATTTCTAAGAGTTAATACACCTCACAGTCTGCTGGATGTAAATTCAGTTAAAGAGTGTACACCAGAGAAAACGTCTCACCCACCAACTTGATCATGCCTTGGATAAATATTATATTTAGAGCTACATGCACAGGTTTTAAGAAAATTATGCAGTGCTGAGCTTATGTTGAACTGATTTAAGACACACAGCCTGAATACAATGCAGTACATTTGGGTCTCAGTAACAGTGAGAAGTTTGTGTATACACAGGCATGCAGAGACTATATCTATCTTTGCTGTTAAGTGCAGATATATATCTGTAGCTGAATACAGACTTCACATTCCAGTAATGTGACAGTATCAGAACAGTTTCTTTATATTATAAACTCCTTGAACAATCATTTATTTTGCAATGGTTCAGGCAGCAAGCAGGAACAAACTGATTTTCCAGCATCAGCTTCATAAATAAATGGCTAAAATGTTATCAGTTCTTGTTTTGCATCTGGTTTACTAAAGTGGAAAAATCTACAAGAATAGATAGAAAACACAACAAAGGACAGACTGCAAAGGATGGATTGTACCACTGTTGTCCTTATGGAAACAGATGCATTTCACATTAAGTTGTAATAGGATTTAGAGGAGCTTGTTGAATAGCTTTCGAAGGAAGTTGCGGAGCTTTATTCTTTAAAAAACACCAAGATATAAAAGCTCTCTATTCTTCCATTCAGTCTTGAGATTGGCTTTTAGGTTTTTGAGGTACAATACTGTACTTGGCTATTTATCTCTTTTATCTTTTGTTCTGAGACATGATAGCTCTCTGAGCAAATGGCCTGCACTGCTTAAACTCTGTGGAATGGCACTTTATAAGGCAGGAGATAGAGACAGCCAAGGATGTTATTTCAGAAGCACCATCTGCATTTTCATCTGTAAGAAATAAGTAAGACAGTATTTGGCCTCGTGACTTGTTGACAGTGTTTCTTGCCATCACAGACACCTTCTAAATCTCCACCACATCCTTTGCCAAGCCCTAGGGACTTTGTTTTCATATGAGATGCTATCAGCATTTGCAGGCCTGTAAAGTCTCAACACAGGAGCCCTGGCAACCCACAAATTAAATTCCAGTTTACACACCGTGGGCAAACCTTTAGCAGAAGGGAGGATGGTCTCAGGGTGCCTGCCCTTTCTGATGTCTTTGCTCCATGGGACCAGGGTCTCTGGGCAGACAGCAGCCCCTTTTTATCCTTTCTGTCCATTCTGAGGGTAAAATCCCCAGAGTCCACACTTGTGGGCACAGCCAACCAGCACAAGCAACTCAGTTAAAAACTGCCCAGTGTTCACAGAGAGGTGTGTAAACTCCCGTTAGGCCACCGTGTAGCAAACCAGATAGAGCAATCCTATGGAAAATGTAGGGTGAGGGTTTATAGGGAGGAGGGTTCATTCATATAAGCTTGGGGACCATGAATCAAAGGGACAGATTTTGTCATTTACTGTTCGCGCCTGGATAACTATTTATATGAGCAATCTGATAGATATCACTGAAAAGTAATTGGTTTTTAGAGTAGTAACTCTGTTCCTCTCTGGAAGTTATTTTAAGCTATTCACAACTCAGATGTTTTGAGTTATATTCAGATTTCCACCCTAAATCAAATTACAGCTGATGCCAAAAAACTGCAGACTTCTGTTTTGAACTACAAGTGAGTCAACACCCCTTGAAAGGGATGTAATTTGGAGTGCAAACCTTGTATTTTCATAGAAATAAGCAAAAGAATGGAGAGGGTCTCACAGCTCACGTGCTGATACTACCTGAATATAAAAATGAGGATTCCCATTCCCAGTCACTTCTGAAGATTCTAAATGATGCTTACATACTCTATATGTGTACTGCATACAGACAACAAATAATTACATTTCCTAACAATGAAGGGGTTTTTTTGTTTGTTTGTTTGTGGTTTTTTTTAAATTTCAGAAGTGCATCTGGTAAAGTAAGATGGTCTTACTTTACCCAGGATTGTTGGTAAATGACAGCTAATTAAATCTCACAGCTTTTCCCCTGAGGTGTCATTCCCATTTTAGAACCTGGAGGGGAGGGAAGCATTTACATGACTCACAAAAAGCAGCAACAGCAAAAGAGAGTACAGCTTAGGAATAGGCTACCATTTGCAGCCCTCTCAGATGCCTCCAATTCAGGTGCATTTTAACACTTTTTGTCCCTCTTAGATATCTCCCTTGAGAGTTACTGTCACCTCCCCATTGCATTATTTCACCATCAAGCTTTAAACCACTTGTGGACTTGGCCCTGTGAAGTCTTGCTCTTTCCTGCTGTGTGACCAGACCTCTGTTAATCCTCTCAACTTTCGGCAGTGAAGTTTATGCAACTGCCTAAGCAGTTCCTTGAACCTCACCCTCAGACTGTTTTTCTGGAAGTGCAGTGTGGTTTCTCATGGCCTTGAAAGAGGAATTATGAACACGGATAGATTCACCTCTTTCCAGGAGAAGCCTGATGGCCATGTTCACTTCTGCATGATGAACATCTGGGCAGGCAACAACTTTGGGGTATTTTTAATGTAACTTTAAATGCAGAACAGAATTAGGTGATGTAATGCTTGCCATGACATGTAAAACATTTGCCTGTGGGTTTTAGTGGCTTCAGTTCTGGGATCTTCTCAAGCATGACCACAGAAAGTCTCTTATTGGCCGCCATGGTTATGCGTGTTCCTCCATGCATCGTTTTGATCACCCCCTGCATTTAAAAAACATGTAACAGGTGTACAGTCCCTTGAAAACAAGATAAAAGCCACGAGGGATTCAGTTAACATTGCTTACTTGTGATTTTCGAAGTCAAGACTACTGTATCCCCCTAGGGACCTGTGGCCTTGTAAATGATTCCTTGGTATTTCCCATTCTCTGAATTAAATATTAACTTTCAAGCTAGGTTAGACTTCTGTGGAAACACTTAAACACAAGATACAGACATTTTTGGTATTTTACATATTTCCTTTCCACTTTCTCTAGCAAAGATTTATCTGGATTAAGACAGGCAAATCTCTTTGGCTGTTGTGAGCCTGACTTGCCCTAGCTGTCTTTCTGATATAGCTTTGATATTATATGGAGCCACTTTTTTCAGCTCATTTGAAAGTACTAAATTTGTTTTGAATTGCAATTCTTTCACTCTCATAAGAAAAAGCACATAGCAAAAAAAAAATTAATATTACAGTTTTAATTTATTGGGGGAGATATAGCAATAGATATTAAAATATCCTTAATCTATAATTGCTAACAGAAGAAAGGCATTACTGTTTAGGCAAGAAAAGTGAAATATTTGCATCAGTTCCAAAGATAAATTCATATCCAGAGTTATGGAAATGGTACAGTTACATGCCCCACATTGAGAAATACTTGAGAAATTCTTATTCCTGCTACTGACTTCCTACGTGACTGAGGCAGTCATGGATGTCATGCAAAACTGCATGAAGTTCAACAAGGCCAAGTGCAAGGCTCTGCATCTGGGTCAGGGCAATCCCATGAATGGAGAATGGACAAAAAATAGTCTGGAGGAGAAGGACTTGGGGGTGATGGTGGATGAGAAATACAACACAAGTCAGCAATGTGGGCATGCAGCCCAGAAAGCCAACCATGTCCTGGGCTGCAACAAAAGAAGTGTGGCCAACAGGTCAAGGGAGGAGATTCTGCCCCTCTGCTCAGCTCTCGTGGGACTCCACCTGGAGTACCGTGTTCATTTCTGGAGTCCTCAACATAACAAAGAGATGGACCTGTTGGATCAAGTCCAGAGGAGGGCCACGAAGATGATCTGAGGGCTGGAATACCTCTCCTATGAGGACAGGCTGAGACAGTTGGGGTTATTCAGCCTGGAGAAGAGAAAGCTCCAGGGAGACCTTATACTGGCCTCCCAATACCTGAAGGGGCTACAGGAAATCTGGGAAAGGGCTTTTTACAAGGGCCTGTGGTGAAAGGACGAGGGGTAATGTATTAAAACAGGAAGAGGAGAGATTTAGGTTAGACATTACGAAGAAATTCTTTAGTGTGAGGATGGTGAGACACTGGAACAGGCTGCCCAGGGACTTTGTGGAAGCCCCATCCCTGGAAGTGTTCAGGGCCAGGTTGGATGGGGCCCTGAGCAGCCTGATCTAGTGGGAGGTGTCCCTGCCCATGCTGGGGGGTTGGAACTAGATCATCTTTAAGGTCCCTTCCAACTCAAACCATTCTATCATTCTGTGAATTCCTCTGCAAAACTTTGAGCAGCAAGAGGGGCCAAAAAGCAAATTTGAAAAGTGATGGCTCTAAAATAATTTTTAAAAAGTAAATTACCTCCCCTGGCAAGTCCATCTCATAGTCCTGCCAGGTTCATCATCCCCACCAATATAAACCCTACTCTCACAGACAACAGAATAGCAAAAGATGCTAAAATAACGTTCAAAGATGGTGAAATGTGTCCAAAACTGACCTAGGTTAAATGCAATAAATAAAATGAAATAATATGGCATCTTGCTTGTGTTAAGAAGAAATGGTTCTCATTAACCTCCTTTCCTTCTTCCTGATGTTTTCCATTGCATTTTTTTTCTTGTTTATTCTGCATTTTGGGAAGATTTTACTTTTGAAATGCAAACAGAATATTTAGCTTGCCTTTCTGTTGTTACCTTCTCTTTTGGGATGCCCAGAAACACCCCAGTGCAACGTTCCATTGAGACTTAAGCTTTTATGCCCTGGAAAAATAATGT